GCAACTCCCCTTCGCTCACCTGCCTGCTCCTTCCCGCTTTGTCTGGGCATGGCCTCGCTGGAGGGGGACGTGTTTGAGAGCTCTGACCCCCTCCCAGCCAGTGCCAGATGCTTCCCCTCTGGCTGCTGAACCGCCCCAGCACCCGGCAGGGCCCGTTTGGCCTCAGCTGCCCCTTCCTTCTAAAGGAAGCATTTCATAACTAAATAAAACCAGTGGCTGGGCACAAAACCAACTCAGTTGAGCCAAACCCTCGCGCTTGCATGACAGTGCGTGCCAAGCCGAGGGGACAGGGCGGCCAGTCGGGGAAGATGAAAAGCCACGTCTCTCAACACCCAGCGCTCTGGGCTCTGCAAACCTGCTCTGCATCGCAGCCCTGGGAAACGCGGACGCAGCCGGAGCAGGGACAGCAGCGTTCCGCTCCCGGCACAACCAGAAAGCCCAGCTGGGAGGAGCTGGTGTTGAACGAGGCGATGGCCCCAGGCACAGCGATCACAGAGCCAGAGCCGCTGCTGTGCTACAGCTGAGCCTTAAAGCCTCTCCTGAGAGCATGGCGGCAGCCTGGCTTCACGGGGTTGTGTGGCCACGCGACTGCTTTGTGGGGCCGGGGCAGATGGGGAGGGGAACGCAGGGACACGGGGCCACGTGGGGTCCTCAGGGTGCCTCTCTCCACAGAAGGGCCGCCGCTGACCAACACCACCTTTCCCCACATCATGCCCCTTGTGACTCTCCTGGAGCGGGATGAGGCTCTCACGGACAGCCCCGAGCCCTGGGAGACCACCGACAATGGCGTGGAGGTGGTCATGGCCCACCTGGAGGCGGCGCGGATGGTGGCCCACCACGGCGGGCTCTACCACACCAATGCTGAGGTGAAGCTGCAGGGTAAGCGATGGGGACAGCAGAGCCCCTTTCCCTCTGCCACATTCCCAGTGTGCAGCTCCAGCCCAGCACCAGACGGAGCATCCCACGGACGCAGGGTCCCCATCCCATCCTGGGGGACTGACTCTCCCTCTCTGCAGGTTTCCAGGGCAGAGCGGAGCTGCTGGAGGTCTTCAGCACCGAGTTCCAGCTGCGGCTGCTCTGGGGCAGCCGCGGGGCCGAGAGCAGCCAGGCCGAGCGCTACGAGAAGTTCGACAAGGTCCTCACCGCCCTGTCCCACAAGCTGGAGCCGGCGGTGCGCTTCAGTGAGCTGTAACCCCCCCGGGCTCTGGGGGGAGACCCCCCAGCTCCCAGCCTGCCCCCGCCCCCCAGCGGCTGTGGGGCGAGGGATGGGGCCAGGCACCCGACACCAGGAGGAGGAGAGATGGCCCAGAAAGGCGCTGGGGCACGGATCAGCAATTCTGAGACAAAGAGGAGGAAAAGCAGCCACCTCCTCAGGACAGGACAGACCAGGGGGTCCGCACCGCCACCCCGAGGGATGGGGACAGTGTCTGGGCAGGCCGGCACCGGTGTCCACCATCCGGCCCTGCTGAGGCCCATGACTACACGGTGCCCCTCATCTCGCCCTTCAGTTTCGTTTCTTTTCCATCTCCATCTTGCCCACAGCCGCTGGATCCCGCTTGTAAATACGTTTTCACGATCACTTCTCGATGTACAGACTCATGAAGGACGGTTCTTGTTGTAAATAATTAGGCTCATCCGTTTCGTCTTGTAAATACGTGTACATATCTCATGGGTTTGGTTCTTACATACAATAAACTTTTATGCTGTTCCTCAAGGGATCCCCTCTCCCGTGGGTGTCATTTAAACGAGGCCCCGGCCCCCCCCGGGAGAGCGGGGCCCCCGGG